GCTTATATCAGAAAAACCTAAGACTGAGTGGAGGCCCAGCAACCTCTCTTACCAAACTGCCATATCTCCTTTAATTTCTTCAGGGAATCATTAACATCATGGACATGTGATGCTCCTGGAAATCATAAATAGTGTGAGTTGGAGTGGATCCTAAAAATCACCTAGCTCCAGTTCTCCTGCCACAGGCAGGGACACCTTCCACAGATTGGGTTGCTCAAAGCCCCTTCCAACTTGGCCTTCAACACTTCTAAATTCACAGCTTCTCTGGGCAACCTGTGTCAATGCCCCACCACCCTAAAAGTAAAGAATTTCCTCCCAATATCTAATCTACAACTGCTCTTTTTTCAGCTTGAAGCCATTACTCCTTGTCTTTCCCTCTCCAGCTCTCTTGTAGCCCCTTCCAGACACTGGAAGGTGCTCTAAGGTCTCCCCAGAGCCTTCTCTTCTCCAGAATGAACATCCCTGTAGCTGTTGGTCTCTCAGCAGAGGTGCTCCAGCCCTCTTATTATTACAGCCTTCCAATCTCCTTGAAGTACAGAGTGCTATTAGTTTTGTATTTCTCCTGCTTGCATGTCCGGGCACAACACTCAAGTAAAAAAATAAAATCAATACCACTGATAGAGATAATGATTGTAACTTGATGATCTAATTTACTAGTTGGGCTTTCTGTTGTTCATTTTATGTCAGTTTTTAAGACACTTTTATTATTTGATTTTATTTCTTTCCTCCCCCTCCAAGTTTCTCAAGGTTAGGTTTTGATTAGAACTCGATGAGAATCTTTTCAGAAAAACGTTTTGATTAAAAACCATTACATTTTGAGAAATTTTAATAAGATTTTTAACCTTTCAAATTTGTTTTTTTTTTTTTAGGGCCACTCTAATTGTGGTGCCTTGACTTACTGACTTTTAGGAAATAATTTCTGGTGGAAGGCATGACTTGATCTGAGGACCATAATAAAAACCTGGCTTTTGATGACCAACAAAAGTCTGCATTTATACTTTGGCCATACTGAATTACATGCACTTTGAGCAATTTTTCTGCATGGACTGGTCACAGATGTTTAGATTTGCAATTCACGAAGTATCACCATTGAACTTTGACTAGATGACTGAACCACTTTAAAAAAGGAAGAAAAAGCAATGTAATTCCCAGTGCAACTGGTTCACCAATTGAGTTCACATTTGTATTCACTACAAACCAGCATCTATACCAGCAAAATTCCACACTAGGAATGTATACCAAAAATCACCAAGTACCAAAAAATAAACTCAGAAGTATTTAAATAAATTTATTTATTTTTATCCAACTCTTTTAGCTAGGATCTACTGCAGTCTCTTTCCCTAATGCCAACTACATTAGTAAACACTGTGCTATCAGCAATAATCCATGTATATTAACTTGTTTCTGTATTATGCTGCTGAATTAATATTGCTTAGAATATTCCTTCCTAGTAATTAGAGTATTTTCAAAGAGCACAGTTCCAGAATTACCAAGTACTTTGATAACTTTTATGCATTTTTCTGTCACAGTATATTTAACAGCAAAATCTCAAGAAGCTGCCAGAAAAAAATAATAAAAAACATGAAAATTGTTGATACAGTGCATAACTGCTCTGCCTTGGGCTTTTATGCAGTGTGGATTCTTCCAAGTCTCACCTGACACATCATATGTGGTTGACTCTCTCAGTGGAGCACATTTTTCTCAGTACACCACTTGACATCCTTAGATTTTGCACAGATATGTGATGATACCCAAATTACAGAAATTACTAGAGGTCTCAGTTAGAACAGCCCATCACTAAAGCCTGCCCAGTCACAAGTGTGTCCTAACAACCTCCTAATGAGGTAGGAAATTACGGATCCCTGTTTTGAACTTTTGTTTTATATTGTTTTTTGGTGGAGGTTTTTCAGACAAGTCTCCAATCACCTCTCATTTTAAAGGTTTGACTTCATGTGCTCATCTCCCACTGGATACCTCCTTTCATAGAGTGACATTACACCCCTTTCATCACAAGTGTGGATGTCAGGACATCACTTAGAGCTGCAGGTGGAAGAATGAAAGGGGGGAACAGAAGAGCTTTGAATAAAAAACATTTAATTTCCATATTAATAATTTCCCTTAATGAAACAGAGGATGCAAGAATAAAAAGTACATATGGGCTACAAGGAACTGAGCTGTGTCTACACAGAGCGTTTTCTCAGAGTTATGTATGTAGTAAGCATCATCAGACTGTTTTTCTTCAGGGGTTCAAATTTCCCTAGAGTGGTAGAAGGAAGAGGTTTTTCACAGAGCAGCCAAAAATAAGCAAATAAAGAAGAAAATTCTCTTGGTAACAGATACAAGAAATGCAGCTGTAAAAGACACTTCTCTGACAGTGTCTGCAGATAGAGCCTTCTCAAGACTAAAACTAGCAAGCTCAGTGGAGTTTATTCACAAGACTCTTGAGTGACCCAAAAGCTATTTACAAGACAACATGACAGACTAAAATGGCAATGAAAATATCAGTGAGCAATCAGGAAAATGCATCTTTGCTTTCATCAACCATTCAAATCCATGTAAAAGTCTTTAAAGTCTTCCAGGTGCTGCTTCCCTGTCAAAACAAGCAGCGTAACTAAATGCAGCCTCAAGAAGGCCTGATGCCAGAGGCTTTGTGTTTTCTTATTTTAAAATAGTCCTAGTTTAGAGAGTACTGGAAGCAATCTGTACTAAAGCAACTCCTCAGCCTTCCTTGGATATCAGAATATTTCCTTCATTCTCTGCCCAGTACAGCTGTGTCCTGGTTGATCCCTTCAAAGCCATTTAGTTTAGATAAAGCACCAGGAACAGGAGAGAGTATCCCCACATTCTGCTTTAAGTTGTGACTTCAGGACATTTTACTTCACTATTTATTTCTGCTCTTAAGAATAAGTGAAGTCAGTCTTCCCACTTTTCAAGTTGATTACACTCTGCATATTCACAAGCCAAAATATATAATAATAAATTTTAAAAGCCCAACCAACAACAAATCACGGGCAAGGCTTTACTCAACCTGTACACCAGCACTGGCTACAGAGGTGGTGCTGCAGAAATTTGGATTTCCACTGTACTGCACCCTCTAAGGCCCCAGTTCCCTTCTGCTTTTCTTGCACGGGGAACTAACTGTGACCAGCACTGAGTGCAGAGGGCTTCCCTTCTGATTCAGCATTTCAGTGCTGCTGTATCCCCAAGTACCTGGCTGCACAGAATGGAAATGCATATTAAAGCCCAGTGCTCTTCTGTGGTGTTCTCACACCATGCACATGCACAGCTGTTTTCTACTGTGGACGTGCTTGAGGACAGTGTCCATAGAATTGCAGCTAAAAGTATTCTTTTTGTCCTAGGGTCATTATGATCATCACAAATAGCCAGAATGAAATGCCAGAGTGTTTCCACAAATTGTATTATTTTCACTTTTGACAGCAGAAGTACTCTAGCTGAGGTGTGTTATACAAGGGGCATTCTGTTCAAGGTGAAAATACAGGCTTGCAGTTTCATGCTTTGTGAATGGCTGCAGGGAAATTAGATGGGTGGATGGAACATTTTGTCATCTTTTAACTTGCTCTTTGACTTCGAAGCTCCAAGCCTAAGTTCCCTTATTTGTTAAGTTCTAAAAGGCATTCAAAATTCGAGCTCCATGAAAGGGAACATTACAACTTCATTGTTTTTCTTATTGCAGGTGTCCATCAGCTCATTTCGCAATAAACCAGAACTGTAAGCAATGACAGGAAACTGCAAAAGGCTTGGAACACTCTACAGGACATGGGGACCCAGGAACAGGGACAGTCTTTTCAGCCTCTGAGCCCCTTCAGCAATTACAATTCTGTTGTCTCGAACTCAGGGTACCCAGCTTTCTATGAGTTTCTGCTTTTATTAGCCCAGAAAAAAACAGAAGATGTGTAAAGCTCTGTGTTTGCATCTGACATTTTTGAAACCCTGTTAGGAATCCTGCAGGAAAGAAATAGTGATATAAACACACATGTGACTGTCTATACAGTCACTCCCACAGAAATTAGTTTAAGTTAAAAATGGAATTTAGCTTGCATTACCTTCAGCTAACACAAGTTCTGAGAAAGGATTAAAAAGCAGAAGCAGCAAACAAAATGTCTGGTATATCCTTTGCAGACCAAATAAAAATTCAACTTTAGAAGTAAATTTGACCTAGAGCTCTTTCTTATTTTACAGATTAAAAGAAAATATTTGACTGAACCACTCATGAATCTTGCTATGTTCAAAACCTGTGGGTTGGACATAAATTTACAGTTTAGAAACTACCATGCTGGTCTCATTTTAATAATTGGGTTCAGCTCCACTCGATTTTAAGATGACTATTTTAGCAAAAGCTTCTCTTCTAAAGGCATAGTCACAGGACATAAGCCCACTTCTGCTCACAGGCAGACTAATGGCTCCATAAGGAGTTGATGAGAAGTCCCAAAGATTTACACCAAAACACAGGAAAACCTTATCTTTGATTTGGACTATACAACCATGTTTGCAGGGGGGAAAGAAAGTTCAGCATCTCCTTGATGTCTCAGCTTTCTTTTCCATGTAAGTCAAAGTTATACTGGTATCTGTCTAGTGGCAGCATGCTCAAGGACTTTCAAGGACTAAGTGGGTCTAACAGTAATTAAAAGCACAACACAGCCACTAGAGGATGTCTATCTGTGACAGAAATGCTGGTGTCCTCCAAGACTTCAAGCTTTGTCCCTTAATTGTAGCAGGACCAGACTGAACTCTTCACTCCCCCATCCTAAATCAATACTTTCTTCAGACTATTATTCAGCATATTTCAGTTCTGCATCATTCTTTGATGTAAGACCCAGTGTTCCAATGTGGTATAAACACATAATGCCCCTTTCATACCAGTTCTAAATTAATCTCAACAAACCAGCAGTGCAGACTGTATTCAGCCACACTGCCTTCAAGACCTCATTCCAACACCTCTGTATGTGTCAAGGAAATGAAGAAGAGGGTTTTGCTCTTACCAGTAGAACCTGTTTGGTGTAACTCCCTCATGAAGAAGCAGCCATCTTCTGCCAAACTCCACGGAACTGAATAACTGTGGACAAAAACAAACAGTCATGAACCACAGTAAAACACAGAGATACCAGAGAAATTAAGTTGAAAAACCCTCTACCACATCTGAGATAGTGACTTGGGCTTTTATTCATCCCAGTCTCAAAGGGACACACTTGGGACAGCTGGAACATGTATTTTATTGGCACAGAGAAGACTGAGATGTGTGATTATGGGACACAACTGGTATTACCTGAGGGATCACTTTATGGGTAAAACTTAGCAACCAGCCCTGAATGAAAATTCATCATCCAGTTGCCTTCCTCAATGTCAGAAGGACATTGCCTGTCCATTAGCAGTGCCATCCTTGGGAAGCTGTGTGAATTGGCACCAGGAGATGTTCTAACCTGCCCAGACTTCCCTTGCAGGACTGGATGAGTTTAAACAGCACAAGTTACTTGTTCTAAGGAAACCTGTGAGTCTCCCTCTGCTCTTGTCCTTCTGCCAACAACATGACACCTTCTCTCCTCGTCTGGTTATGCAAACAATATCCAAATACATCAATCATTTCAGAAAATCTTTCCATGATAAATACCAAAGCAGGCTGAGAAAGGTCAGCAAAAAGGCACGTTACAGGTATTATAAATCCTTTGACATGTCTTTGTGGAATCGTATACAAATGTTACTATTACAGAGCACTTACAAACAGCTGCTCTCCACAAGTGCTGCCATCAAGTAATTCTCAGAAGGCCGGTAGAGGGAAGGATCACTTGGGTTCTGTTATTTCTTTTGCTTAGTTTAGCTTCAAATTTATCATGTGGAAGGACTGAGGCAGTCAGCTCTACACTTTTCTTGCAGATTCATCCTGTTTCTTCCCCTCCTTTCTTTACCTGGAAGACTTGGTCAGTCCCCTTTTCTAGCAAGGCAGATGTTGGACTTTTTTTTTTTTTAACTAGTATCTCCCTTTTCATGACATCTTTTAAAGGATTTTGCATAAAATGCAAATGATAAAGATTCAGATGATCTGAATCTTTATGTGCAAATCATAGCAAATTTTTTTTGGAACATGAAGTAGCAGTGGATTGGTAGGAAAGAAAGATGGATGTCTGTGAGAATAGTTGAGAAGAAAAAAATTATGATTTAGAAGCTTTGGGTTCATGAGAAAGATGATTTGAATGTATTTTAAGAATTATGAGACTGGGATGTAAAAAACCTTTGAGGTCTACTTATTTGGATATTGATTCCAAATGCAAAACTTAATATCCCTCACCTTTCCTATGGTAAAAAACTTGTAAAAACACAGAGAAACTAATTAAAAGAGCTTTTTAGTAAACAGTAGACTAGCATGTATTAAAATTTACTTTGAAATATTAAAATTCATCTCTTTCATCTCCCTTTCTCTTGAACACTGTCAAAGAAGAGAGGGGAGAAGGCGGAGAGGACAAAAGATAACAAGAGTAAGAAGAGGGAAAAACAGTTTAGTTCTGTAGCTAGAAGTGCATCCAATTTTAAAACTTCAGTAAGACTGTTATTTTTCCTTAAGTAGAAGATTATAGATATTTTTATTTGAAACTTTAAGAAACCCTAACTATAACAAAGGAAAACTTTTCTGTTTGGAAATTAAAGAAAATCTTTCAGAACATTGAACAACCACTTTTTGAAGTGATTTAAGGCCATCTATTCAAGAACTTCACCATTACAGGAAGCATTTTTCCTCCTCCACATTCAAAATCCATTTCTAGACCTTTTTTATAATTGCAGCAAGAAATAAAAACATGATAACAATAAGCTATTTCTATTATCTATCATCTCTCTGATATCAATGTTTTTCTTTTCATGGCAAAGCAGTTCCTTCTGTGCCAAGTACTGTCTTTGACATACAGTAATTTAAGTTTCAATAAAGCTCGTATGATCCTTTAATTAAAAACAGGGAGCAATCCACACTCAGCAAATTCCTCTGCATTTCCAGACCCGGGACAAACAGGATGCAAGCTTTTCAGGGACACTGATGTTCCGAAGGGTGACATCATCATATTGAATTTTGTTTTGATGCCTTGGGTTTTAGCTTTTCTATTTTTCAGAATCTCTGCTGCTTAGTGTGTAACTGTGAAACTTCATATTAGGTGTTAGTAAGGTCTCTTCACAGGGTAATTAGACAAAAGAATTCCTTTCTAGCTAGGGAATCAAGGACAGCTGGTACCCAAAAAGCAGAAACAACAGCAAGGGAAAGGGGGTCTGAGACTTCATAGCCTGGGGCTGTGGTTGGACAATTGACCCCAATGTGTAGATGAACCAAAACTTACAAAAGTGTAAAAACTCGTGACCAGGATCCATCTTGGATTTGATTTGGGTGCAGCCCTGGCTGGGCTCTTGCACTGCCCAAGCTGTATCCTTTCAATAAATACCTATTTTATCCCTTTTGCTCTGCCTAGTCTGTATTCCAGGTCAGCCTTCCAGGCAACAGTTTTCCCACTTTTGTATCTCAGCTTTATCCCCCTCTGGTTTCCCTGAGCATAACTCTCAGCAGGTTATTCCCTCTCTGAATTTGCTGGTGACAGTAACCTACCCAGAACAAATTAATTACAGCCTGCAAAAGCTTTCTCTGTGCTCGTGTAGCACCCTCCTCCACGCCTGCAGTCCCACTGCAGTGCCAGGTGCTTGACAGCCCCAGTGGCACAGCTTCCCTCTGGCTCTCCCAGCACAGCTCTTCCTTTACCTGCAGCATCTGCCAGCTCCCCCAGGAGAACGAGAACGGAGGCTGGGATGCTGCACAGCACCCAGACAGCCCTGCTTCCTCCTAAGCTGTGCCCTGAGGAAGATGTGATTCAGGCAAAAAAGTGGAGAAATGCAAGAGCTTCTAAGTCTGTTTCAAAGGCAGGAAATGGCAGCAATTCTACTGTCAGGGCTGGACTCTTAAATTAGAAGCCAGTGCCCAGTGAGCTGGAGACAGCGTGTGAGCAAAGGCAACAGCTCTCAAAGGGAAATACCAGCTCCCTGGGAGCCCAAATCCAAAGCTCTCATTGTCTTTGATTTTCATCCTTTGCCATTATCTCAGCACCAGCTTTGGCCTTTACTAACTCACAGCAGCACAAGCAGCACTAATGTATCTTTAGGGAACCCCACCATATGTACAATCACCCCCTCAAAAAAAAAATTGCAGTAAAGATTTTTTCAGATATTTTATTCTAAGTATCATTCATTTTTAAACCTAGTTTATTCAGTTTGACTGAAAAAAAGAAGCATTTGAAGGCTACATTTTTGTCAGGTATAGGTTATGATACAGCTGGGATTATTTTTCTCCTTTTAGCAGTTGTAGTTCTTGAATGGATATTTTTTAAACCCAGCATGACATTTTGCTCGTTACAAAATCCCTCTCTCTCCTGGGACTTCTTGTGATAGCCTTGTGCATGCAGTCCCTTCAAAGCTGACATTTTGTTTTCTTTGGCAAGCACTGCTGTGTGATGACAATTTGCATTATTAGACTGAAGTTAGATAATGTTCTTTGCCACACTTATTTTTCAAGCACAGATAGAAAAGGAACCTATTACAATTCTATTGTATGTTTTCATTTGAGGGCCAAGCTGACATTTCCGTTTTCATGGAGACAAAACTATTATGAAGTACAAATCTTGTATTGATCTCTCAGATTTGACCCTTGTTCATCAGGGAAAAATTCTCTTCTTGTTTCGTCTCTTGTACATTTATTTTTCTGTGTAATACGCAGATTGTGTAACAACCTTTAAACGGTCTGGGTTTGCTTTGTTTTGCTTTTTTAAATTTTAATATTCTGTGAAGTAGAAACCTACCACCTACCTCATTTATATAAGAAAAAAAGAAATGCAAAGGAAAAGAAGAGAGTGTTCTGAGGTTACAAATACTTTCTGAGGCTGAGCAGGGATTCAAATAAACCCTTTGAATGGTGAGACAATTGCCCAGCCCTCTCACAGCACACCACCACGGTCTCTGGGAGTAGGGAAAGCTGACATCCAAAAACTGAATTTCTCTCCTTATCTACACCAGACATGATATGATACTGCCTCTCCCTCTTTGTTGTTTCCCAACCTGTATGAGAAGCCCAAGAGCTGCTCATGTATTTTGTAAGGATAGGGTAAGTTTCACCTTAAAATACTCTGCAATATCTAGGTAACAGCAGAATACTGTTGGCACATATTATTCTTTCCCCTTCTAATTTCCTGATCTTTCTAGTGCCAACCAAGACTTGAATAACTTTTTACTTTTGCATTTCACATTATAAAAAACTCAACTAAAGTCTATAAAATATAAGGAGAAAACATGACTTTTTTTCAAAATGTTCCATTAAGAATAACTGGGATTTATTTGACCCACCCATTCTGATATAATATTATCTGAAGGGTCATTAAGCCAGTCAAGACCTACCATCACCCCTTCTGTTTTCAACAGATTACTTTTCCTAGCCAAAGCTGTTATGTGAGGAATGTCTTGTGCCTCTATCTGCACTTTAGTGCCTTTACAGATTGCTGCAGATACAACTGACCCTGAGTGTCCATGATGTTTCATCATTCAGCATTTAAAATAATTTGATTAAATATTTGATTCTGATGCTTCTGCACATACAGATCTTGAATCAAGTGGCAGTTCCATGTGCTTCCTATGCTGATGAGGAAATTAAATTTTATACAAAGATTTAATCTCACGCAAGAAAAGATACACACACAGAAATTAAAAACCTGGTTAAATAAAGGGTGATTTAAATTGCATGTTGGAAGTGACATTGGGGAAATACTTCGAGAAAGCTAGTAGTTCCTATTATTTTTCTTTTATTTAAGAGATTTCCCCTAAACAAGTTATAAAGGAATACAGTATGGAGTCTGGGTTGACAGGGTTTACCAACTTGGTCTACCATTCAAAAAAGAAAAGTCTCTCTTTCTCTCACCTCTAATTTCCAAGCACTCTCATTCTCCCTGGACACAGATCAGACCAAAACCAAATCAATCTACACTGCATTAGCGACCTAACAAAACCCAGATGCAACTGGAAAACGAGCTCAGAACAGCTTTGAAA